CCTCTCCTCTCTGCTACTTCACTGGTGTACATTATCATTTAAGGTGGGACTGGAGAGGAATATTTATCTGAAGGAGTGGCCTTAATCTTAGACCTAATCTCACAGTATCATCTTGAAAGAGTTATAAAACCACATCAGTTAACAGATACTAGCATGTGTTTTATCACTTCATAAAATGAAGAAGTTGTGTGTTCATAGGGGGGAGGGGGCAAGAAGGTCAAATGATCAAGAATTACTCATTGATAAATGACTTAGCATTATAGATGGACTAGAAAGAGTTGAGCAAGCTGTGAGGAAGGGGAGTAGACTTGAACTAGATGAGGGCAGATCAGTGTGTGTCAGACAAGTTAAATAAAGACGGAATATGTCCAAAAAGTATATGACTGACTAAACATGCAGAGATTCAGAGGAGAGGCTCAGTGTACAGAGAAACCATAGTGCCCTTTAGGGCTAGCTGGAGGTACCCCACCTGCTTGTGGTAGCTCTTACAGATCCTTGAGACAGTAAGACAAAGAAAACAGGAACCACCTGAGTCATATGTATTATGTGGAAATTTCAAATCAAGTGTGTTTTTGAGAATAACCTTCTGTTTTTCATTTCTTCTGATATTAACTGCCTTTATGAAGGATGGTGATTATTACTGTGTACATACATTGTTTGAACTTAAGATTCTTATTAGAAACAGATGGCATTCCAGGTAGTCCCAGTAAGGTTTCTCTTTCTTTTTTGAGTGATTCTTTACACTAATTCCAAGTCTGTACCCAACAAATCACACCTGGTCACCCTAAACTCTGAATGCCATGCGTTCTTGTTTTAGATGGAAACTTGAGTTTTGTTTTTTGTTTTGTTTTAATTTTACTTGTTTGGAAATCTAGTGATGAAACTATTATTTTTATTTGGTTCTTAAGTGACTCTCGGTCACCTAGGGTCTTTTAGGACAAAAACATTGGTCTGAAAGAATTTCTGATTTATCACAGAAGGCAGATGCAGAACTTTGGGCTTGCTGAACAGTAGCTTCTAGATGGTTCGTATTTGGGAAGCTTTGGAAAGGAGATACTGCAGGTCTGTGAGTAGACATTTCTAGACTACTTTAAATCAAATTGACCACACTTGAGCATTTATGGAGTAAGCATTTCAGTGCCTAGCTTTATGCTAGAGGCAGGAACCCAATGTTAGGTATTTACACTGTCCATCAAGGGAGAATCAAAAGAGACTTAGCCTTACACAGTCTCTACTAAGTGCATAGTACTGATAAGAGATTTACATATATTTGGCAAAGACACTGTTAATGTTCTTGTGGTGGGGACAAAGCAAAACTCTTCTGAACACAAAGTGGTTAATTAGAACCCTCCCCCATCTCAGGACTGATAATCGTGTTAGAATCTGATTCTAAGTTCAGAATATGATCTGCCTGCTCTTGGAAGCTGTGTTTGTTCCTTGGTATTAACCAGATTCAGAAAAGGCATAATGTCCTTCTTTCTCATCATCTAGCAATAAAATGATCAGTGCTAGGAAAGACTTCATTGACCTAGGTTTTAAAGGAGGGCGAGGACTGGGAACTATTTTATTAAGGGTCAACTATAAGTGTTCACTATACTAACCACTGAAAATTCCCCTCAGATACCAGTCTCTTTCACATATGTAAAATATGAGATGAAGAGGGAATATCGACTTAAAAAATTTGTATGTGGGTAGATGGAAGCAGAGAAAGGGTGGGTGACGACTGACCCTCCTGGGTGAGGGATGGATGGCAGGAGTTAGTGATCTGTGGCAAGCCTAAAAAGCAGTAAAAACTGGCGTTGACTTGGATTCAAGGAAAGGTAGGAAGAAATACTAAAAAGATACTTTTCAAGCAGGTATACAACAGGCCTGAAATGATGAGGTTTAAGAAGTGGCTTGGTGTGGAATTAGAAGCCAGTGGTTCCTTTGAGCAAATGGATAAGTGGAATTGGCCACCAGCCTGTACAATAGATTGGAAGAGCAAACTGGTTGTGTGGTTGCTTTGAAAGTCACAAAGACTTGCTTGGCTTGGTGGTACATTACAGGAATCCCAAACACTCTGGAGGTTGAGTCGGGAGGATCATAAATTTGAGGTCAGTGTGAGCAATACAGAGAGACCTTGTCTCAAAAATAATAATAACATACACATCATAGAGAGATGTCAGAGGGACCTGAAGAGATGGAAAATACACTAATTTTTATTTAATCACCCAGAATATCCGCTTGGCTTTTGTGCTTTTGTGACTTCCTGGTGTAGGTATTTCCTGGTGAACCGACGGGATGCACACTGGTAGAGTCCTAGAAGTAGGGACCTCCCCACATTGCCCTCCTGGGTTCCTCAGGCCGCTAAAAGAACTCCCCACACAGGAATTGGCTGCAGAAGAGACACCTCACCCTTGTTTGCCTTCTGCCTGCCTTCCTCAGTGAGACCCATTAGACTCTCTACAGTCCTGTGCTCACTTTTCTCTGACTCTTTAAAGGCTTTTTAGTTCTTCATTTGCCTTTCAGAACTCTCATCCCCCCAGTCCTTCATGTAGGAATCTGATCTTCCAGAAAAAAATATATTTTCATCAGGTGGTTTTATCAATCAGAAATAGTTAACAGAAACCTAGGAACAGGAATTCTTGATGCAACCCTCCCTGTTTTAACACATTCTTCCCATACATTCATGTATATGCACACACACACACACACACACACACACACACACACACGCATGCACACACACATACTTTATCCTGCCTTTTTGTCAAATAAACTTATTTTCAATTACTCGTTCATTTGAAGATGCAGACCCAGCAACCACTGTGCTGTCCTTGGAACTTCAGGCATAGACAAGGGGTTAATGTCTCCCTATCAGTGAGGTTCCTACTGGCTGGCCTTTTCAGCTCATAGATGTTTTTCTTTGGCCTTATAAAGACATTTTATCCGCTGGAAACCCTTGTCGCATGACAGGATCAAAAATAGCTCTGTTGCAGCCTCTGCTGTCCGTCACCACATGTAAACTGGCAGGAGAGGAGGCCCTCTAAGCTGCGTCTGCACATTGTGGACCTGGCAGCTCTGGGGACAGTGTCTTACACAGCCACACCTGTCACCAAGGGTGAGCCAGTCACCTGATCACACAGAGTTCTGAGTGTTTGCATGACCACGCGCCTGGTTTCTGACGTGCAGTTAAGAACATCTCTAAGTGTCCTCAGAAACACTTGGTGACATGGTTTCAGCTGGCACCGGGAAAGATCTACAATTTGAGTAAAATGGAATGTATTTTTATCACAGGGAGTCAGAGTTCACTGCTCTCTCTGATAAATTCATCTTTTCTATGGATGTTCTTAACAAATGCTGTCAGTAGAATTATGAAAAAAAAAGCAAAAATCTGTGGTTTTGCAAAATCTGACTGTATTGTTTTGTGTTGGTCTTTCAAATCTGAAGGTGGTTATCTGTGTTTGTACTGTTAATAAATTGGTTTTGTTGACAGCCAGAGTGCATGCTATATTTTTAGAAAGATAGGGGGTTGTGACAGAGATTAGTTTAAAGAAAGATGAACTAAGTCAGATATTTGATGTTGGGCTTTGTAAATGGGTCGTAATAAATTGTACAAGTGACAGTTAGGATCATGAATTTAAAAAAAAAAAACAGCTCTTGTGATCTTTTAAAAAACCAACTTTTAAGTGAGGTCCTCAAGTCCATCTTGTATGTGATCTGTAAATGTACCATTTTAAAAAGGTACTTGATCTTTTTTTCCCCTAATGACTCAATACCTGTACAACTGATTTGTACAAAATATTAACCAACAAAGCAGATTGAAAGTAGATATGCTAAGAAATTCATTTCTCCTGATTTGGAGGCTAACATAAGGGTTAATTGTCATGTAGCATAAATGTTACTTTATGATGTGCATCCTTTAAGCCTTTATGAAGTTTAGAGATATTTGGTTGTATTTCCCTGTCCCTACCTTTTCCATCAGCCTCACCGTCTCCCCCCAAACCCCTTCTGTCTGTCTTGCATAGAGATAAACAAGCTGGTCAAGCCTCAGCTGCTGATAGTCAAACAGGTTTGATTAACCGTTATGTCCTTATGGAAAAAAACCAGAGAGAGAGAGAGAAAGTGTGCTGCACACCTCTTTGGAAATCACTGCCGTGAACGTTAATAGCATTTTTCTAGCTTCCCACAACAGCCTCTTGTGAGCCGAGTGAGCTGCACCACTGTTCGCTTGAGAAGCGTATCTGCTGTGTTCACCACACTTGTGAACTTTTAAACTCCTGTGGGGGTTTTGTTTTTGTTTTTGTCGCCTGCTTCTTTTTGTAATTATGATTCTTAATGAGGGTGACTGAGGTTGCAGAGAGATTAATGTGTGCCGAGTCTGCCTAGCAATTTCAAATAGGGTTGCCATGATGAAGAACATGCGGACTTTGTGGGGGGCCATCGCCCCACAGAACTGCCGAGTTGCAGATGGCCTGAGTCCTGTATTCACGGCTATGAATTTTTTCTATTTGCTAACCATTTTTTCTCATGTGAACTTTAAAGTCCTCATGAAGTCTGTGTTCAATCTCTCCTCTATGCACAGCTCTGGTGAGCTACGATCTTCCAAACTTTGGGTAACTGATATCAAATGGTTCTAAATCATCACAAGTGGAAATTCTGACAGGGAGAGTGTCCCTGTTTCTGTTGTTGAATTCTTTCAAGAGTGCATCAAACGGTCCGCTAGAAAGTAGATATTATGGCAACCCTATGTTGATAGCAACCACTAAATTTGAGTTTGTCTCCATCTCTGAGCCACGAATGCTATAAGAGGTGGCTGATGCCTGACTCTGTTTCCTGTTTCTTCACAGGATCCCTGCCCACTACGTCTACCCACAGGCTTTTGTGCAGCCTGGAGTGGTCATCCCCCACGTCCAGCCCACAGCAGCTGCGGCCTCCACGACCCCATACATTGATTACACTGGAGCTGCGTACGCACAATACTCAGCGGCAGCTGCGGCAGCTGCGGCAGCAGTCGCCTATGACCAGTACCCCTACGCAGCGTCCCCAGCAGCTGCAGGCTACGTGACCGCTGGGGGCTACGGCTACGCTGTCCAGCAACCAATCACCGCCGCCGCACCCGGGACAGCTGCAGCCGCAGCCGCAGCAGCCGCAGCTGCAGCAGCCTTTGGCCAGTACCAGCCACAACAGCTGCAGACAGACCGAATGCAATAGACTAGCCATCTGATCAAAGTCAAAAGGGTTTCTCTTTCCCTCCCGATTTTCCGATTTTTAGTAGCTAATAAGAGAGTTGACATTGACTTAACAGCTTTAAAGAGAGTGAGAGAGAGCCATTGTGAAGCAGAGGTGTTATTTTTTTCATATTCCGAGTAGTGCTGCCGAAAAGGAGGGAAGAATGGAGGGCCCGGAACAGTTTTGGAAGTCAGTCCCAAAGAGCCCGAGTTACACGGAAAAGCCACTAGGACAGGACCGCGGGGCACCACTGGGACTTTGCTTTTGTAACCGGATTTTTATTTTTTGCTCTTTTTATAGTATCAGGGAAGCAAACTGCCTTTTCCAAGTTAGAAAATGCTATGTGAATCTAGTTGAACCAGGGAATACAGAGTGAGCAATATGTAGCTTGAATTACGTGTAAAAGCAGATGTTTTGGGGTTTTTTTTCTTTTTCTTTTTCTTTTTTTTAAACAAACAAAACAACAAAAACGCTGGTTGTCCTTCTTTTGCAGTCACTACAGCCTACAGAACTTTTTCAAGGCAGAAAGTAGTGTTGTGCTATCTCAAAAATGGGCATCGAACAATCAGTTGAGTGTGGCGGTGGGTACAGTGGTGGACAGGTACCAAAGCTATTTTCTCGTCTGTCCTGTGGATGCATGGGACTGTGGAGCAAGTGATACGGAATTAATGGTGCAACAGCTGTTCAGACAATCAATAGCACACACAGTTCTGGAAAGCATCCATCACTTGTGCCTGCCGGATGAGCTTGTCACATTCTAATCCCTCTTCCATCCTGTTTCAATTTTGGGAAACTTGTATCTGCTGGTGTCAGCAACTTTGATCCCTAAACAGGATCAGGCTTACTCCCACAACTTCTCTTTCTACTTACTGTGCGGACTGGGACTTACGCGTAAAGGCAGGCGAAGTTTGCAGATACTCGACCCTTAAGAACTGTCTTAAGGACGTTTATTTTCTCCCTCTCCCCTTTTAAAATAATTTTACACTTTTTAGTCTCTATTTTAGAGTCCTATTTAAAGCTATTTATTAGTGAATCCAGTACCTGAGACAGCAAAGTTCTTGACATTACAATTTTTCAGTGGTTAATGATAATGTGGTTTATACTGTGCCTTAATAGTAATGCTATTTAAGATATTTATTTTTAAGTTTTACTATGCTGCACTCTAAAGAAAGGAACTTTAGACGTGACACTGTAAAATGATGAATTCATCTCATGGCATAAATTATTCAGTAGGTCTAGGTGTAGCATATTAAATATTAACCTATTCAACTAAAGATGTTGACTTGGATTTATTTAAATTCATATGTGCACTGTTTAAGAGGGTACTCTTACATGAACACATCTGAGTTTATTCGGTCTTGAGCTTTTTTTGAACAAGCTACACTGCTGGTCCCGTGTCCCTTCTCTTGGTTGCTTTGCTCTGTAGACCTCATTCATCGGCAACTCCGACTTTACCACTCTCCTCATGTAGTTTGTGTAGTTTTACAATGCTGCTTTCCATTTTCTGAAACTGCGATACTTGCAATTTTTACTCTTAAACTAAATTGAATACTATTTTACACTGTATTGGATTTTTATACTTGAACAATTTCATACAAGGGAAGACAGGTTAGCATTTTTATGGATTTTCTCCATTGTCACTGGATTTAAGTATTCCCATACTAGACAGTGTTAAGTAATGGAGACGTGACTCTCCTGTGCAAATTATTTATTCGTTGTGTATATTGCTTTATACTGTTCCAGATCTTCTAATCTATTCACTTGTATTAAATATAATTTTTAAAAACTCCTGTTGCATTGACTATTTATAATTCTTCTGGGAAAAAATTGTTTCTCATTTTAACTGGTTTTCTCTTTTGAAGACAGGCTGACTTCAAGCTCTTTATGTAGCCAAGGATAACCTCCCTTAACTCCTGAGTGCTGCCCATAAAGGCCTACGCCGCCCTGCTAGGGACGGAACCCAGGCCTTCGTGTGCGTTAGGCAAGCACTCTACCCACTGAGCCACCCTCCTAACCCTCACCCCCTTTTTTCTTGTTTGTTAGGGTTAGTGGTCGTGTTTCACGTGCAGCTTCTTCAGTAAACACAAAACTCTGGAGGCCCTATTCTTGGACCTTTAAATAAAGTAAATTTCACTGAATGTCTGCCTTATGTATAACAAAAAGACCATCCCCAAAAATGAGTCCAAAGGGACCGTTGTATCACTGGATACTGGTGAGCTGAAGATGGCTTGGTGGGACTGGGGTCTAGCCAATCAGAAGCTGGACCAGCAGAATGATGCTGGGACCAGGGAAACTGGAGTTTAGTGCTACACTCTTACTGCTTTCTAATCATGCCAGCAGTTCAAATTGCTTCTGCTTCTTTGTGCTACTAAAACTGAACCCAGAACCTCTTGACTAGCAAGTGTTCTGCCACCAAGCGCTATTCCTACCCAACCACCACCCCCCTTTTTAACTTGTTTTTTGTTTGATTGGTTGGTTGGTTGGTTTTGTATTTTGAGACGGGATCTCATGTATCCCAGGCTGGCCTTGAACATGCTATATTGCCTAGAATGGTCTTGAACTTCTGATCTTCCTGTCTCCCAAGTGATAAATTACTGTCATTATGGGCACCACACTCAATTTATGTGGTGCTGGGCATTGCATCCAACTAAGAGGTACATCCCCAGCCCTGAGTTTTTACTTTGCAGAGCTCTCCCTAAATAGTGTAGCTTTAACTTGTGATGTTCTTGCCTCTGCCAGGTCCCAAAGTAAGTAAGCTCCTTTTTCTTGATGGATTTCTCGTCTATCCTCTTGAGACAGTAATATCAACTTTGCATAGTCATTTAAGCATTGAAGTATGATCCTCCTTCCTGCAAAGCCACAAATGAAGGAAGTTACTTTGTGGGAGCAATTATTCCAGTGCACTACAGGGATAGTCAAAGAGCAAGTCCCCATGGGGATCTTTTACTTTTAAATTTCTTGCACAACATGGTAATATATAGTAGCAAGGTGTGTCCTAGAATGCCAGGTAAGTGGCCACATGGAATGCCCAGAGGGTGACTGTCTACCAATTGTCTTAAAGGGTATATGTTGTATGGACTTGACAGTGCATTGTTGGTTTATCTCTTGGTCCTACTGTCTTCCAAATCCATGATGGGTCTTTTCTTCAATTCTATTGCTTTTCATTCCAATTAGTAATTAGAAGCAACAGAAAACTGTGCTAGTAGACTCCATGCCACACTTATACTCCATCCGGAGCCATCACAGACTCAATCTTCAACTTCAATTGCCTTTCAATTGATGCCAATTTGTCCTTCGTGAGAGGCAAAATCGTACCCCAAGGTATTATCTGCCATCGGTAAAATAATTTTAGAGGTATTTAATGCCCCAGTGACTCTTATCCCAAAAGACATGTCTTAATTTTTCAGATTTATAAAAAGTCACTTTGCTCCTCAATAAGCCATCTATTGCTGATCTTTAAATGAAGTAATATTTGATTTATTGATCAAAAGTAGGTCAGACAGTTCTGGGGGGAAGCTTGTTAAAAACAGCTATGCTGGCTGTGTATGATACTGAGCATTTCATCCCAGTACACGGGAGGCAGAGGCAGGTGGATCTCAGTGAATTCAAGGCCAACCACATCTACAGAGTGAGTTCCAAGCCAGGCAGGGCTACATAGTGACACTCTGCCTGTTTCATATTAAATAATCAATTTTTTGTTTGTTTTTTGAAACAGGGTCTCCCTGTAGCCCCAGCTAGCCTGGAACTCACTAGGTAGACCAGGCTGGCCTTGATCTCAAAGATTCACCAGCCTCTGCCTTCTGAGTGCTGGGATTAAAGGTATGTGCCTCCCTGCCCAGCTTAAATAAAGAAGAGAAAAGCCATGATATAACATCTCCTTACACTGATCTCACAGGCTTCTGGTATTTGAGAGGTGGGGAGGACAATGTGCCTGAGATCCAAGGTGCGGGATGAGTCCTGGTTTCAGTACTTACCAGTGGGGTGGTACACTGTGAATGAACGGTGCCTACCATAGTTGCCCTCTTTACCCCTCCAGCTATACCAATTAAACGAATGCTTTGGCTTGTCCCTGCTAAAACTCAGGTTGAAATTTATGTCTCAGTATCAGATATTAAGTGAGACCAGGTGTGCTCTTCAGGAGATGACAAAGGCCCTGCAATTGTGAATGGGTTTATCCACTCACGCAAATTGTGAATTGGGGGGTAATGAACTATCTCAAAAGCCACTTGGGTTGGGTCTCAATGAACTCCCTTTCCTTGACCACATGATGTCCTGCAGTGCCTCAGCCAGCAAGAAGGCCATCACCAGATGGGGCCCTACCATGTTGGGCCAGAACCACGAACTAATATAATCCTTTTCTTTATGACTTAACCCAGCCTATGGCATTGTGTTATTAACAACAGAAAATGGAGTCATACGCTGAATTAATTGATAAGAACATTTCAGAAATTCTGAAGTACTGGGAAAATGGAAATTATAATGGGGCGGTATGGTCTAGGGGTTTTTGTTGTTTCGTTTTGTCTTTTGTTTGTTGTGTATTTGAGACAGAATCTCACATAGCCCATGTTAACGCTGGCCTTAAACACACTAAGTAGCCAAAGGTGATTTTGAATGTGTGATCCTCCTGCCTACCTCATGCATGCTGGGTTTACAGGTGTGTGTCACCATACCTGGTTTTATGTGGTATTGGAAATAAAACTCAGGGCGTCATACGTGCTAGGCAAACACTCTACCATCTGAACTACACACACACTCCCCTCACCCTACTGAGGCAATATGCATGGTATTAATTTATGAACTGGCTTCAACTATCTCATTAAGTGACCCTTCCAAAGAAGATCAAACATTGTGTTTCACGGTGTTATCGTCACTTTATCCCAATCAGATAACAGCCAAACGTGTTGTATAATAACAGCAACACAAAAATAACATTAAAAGACAGACAGATACCCAGCTACAAGAAGAGAATTCGAAGATTACGGAATACGTTTCCCTCACAGAGGCACTATATTTAGTCCCTTCCTTGCTCCTGTCAAATGTTGTTAATTCCCTCGGAGACTTGAAAGCGTTCATTAAGATGACAGCCCGAGGCTCAGAAGGGGCAGAGGTGAAGAGGAACAAAAAAAATAAATAAATGCGTTTTCATGCTTACTTTTGTGCTCCCTTCTCCTTCAGGAATTCCAAGCTGTTTCCATGGAGATTCGAACTTTGTTTTTGCTTAAGCACTTTGTGTAAACAAGATTCATTTTGAGTGTTCTGAGTTGGATTTGAGTTCACTAGTGACTTCGGCTAAGTTTCTTACATGACAAGCTTCTTAAAAAGTTTTGTTAGTTTTCATTGACATAACAGTTATACCCATTTATGAAGTAAATGTTTGATTGCATGTATATTTATAATATAATAATCAAATCAGGGTAATAAGGAGATCTATCATCTCAAAATGATTATCTTTTTTGGTGGTGAGAATATTTTGCAATGTACATTATTATTGGCTGTTATCACCCCACTGTGCAATTAAAAATCCAGGCTTACTACCCCACATAACTAGAACTTTGTTCCCCAAACTCTCCCCATCCTATCCTCCCGCTAACCAGCCTTTGTTGGGCAGGGTCCTCTTTATTTCTGTAATATCAGTTGAAATCCTACATATGATGAGACCATATTGCATTTGTCCTTTTATGTCCAACTTAGTTCATTCATCCTCCCGGTTCATCTATGCGGCTGAAAGTGACAGGGCTTCATTCATATTTATGACTGATAGTATTCAGATATACACACACATATATATAACATTCATAGATATAGAGATCAATAAATAGATTAGATGGCTAGAAGATAGATAGATGATAGATAGATAGATAGATAGATAGATAGATAGATAGATAGATAGATAGATAGATAGATAGATAGATAGATAGATAGATAGATAGATAGATAGATAGATAGATAGATAGATAGATAGATAGATAGATAGATGATAGATGATAGACAGATGATAGATTGTGTGTGTGTGTGTGTGTGCATCATATTTTAAGCTGACTCCACATCTTGGCTATTATGAGTCTGGTTACAATAAACAGAAATCCAGATATCTCTTCTGTAAAAGACTGGTTCTGATTTAGTTTTCTTTGGCAAATGAAGTAACGGGAAGACTCCATCAATGGCAATTCTGGTTTTAACATTTGAAGACCTCCATCCTGTTGTCCATAGTGACTGTAATAATTTGCATTCCTACCATCCATGGTGTGTAAAATTTCCCTTTTCTCCATGTCCAGCATTTGTTTGTTTGTTTGTTTATACAATAATGGTCATTGGACCTAAGGTCTTACCAATGCTAGGCAAGCACTCTAACACTCAGATATATTTCCCAACCCACCCTTCCCTTTTTTATTTTTTAAAAAATTTTTATTGAATATTTGCAATTTTCATACAATTTAATTTGATGGTAGATCCCCCTTTACATATATATACATATATACAGTTTTATTTGTGCCCTCAAATGCCCTTCAGTGTGAGTCCATTCACTGGAATCTGGTTAACCTACTAAGAGTCACATCCTTGAAAGAGACTGTCTCTCCCTGTCCCAGCATCAGTTGCCAATATTTCCTTAGATTGGGTTGGAGTTTCTTGCCCATTTCCACATGTCTACATTGGGATTGTGTCTGACTTGAGCTCACTGTCAGCCTTGCTCTGAGTTCATATGAGTAACTGACCAGCTGTCTGTTTTCTTGTGGTCATCCACCAC